GGAGCAACATAGCGTGCAAGAATGCTCAGAGGGTATGCAAGGTCAGGTCGTGTGCAGGTCATCAGGTACATGAGGCAGCCAACAAGCTCTGCATACGGACCACTCGACTCTACGGACTCATCCGAAGGCAGAGCTGAGAGTGAGTGGCGAGTAGGCAGAGGAGTGGCCTGAGGCGAGGAGTACGTGAAGCCGAAGCGCTGAAGGACCTGCTGCACCATGTGTGACTGAGTCAAGGTAATGGTGCGGCGTGCTCTGATACCATGTGAAAAGAATGAACAGGAATGAGAATGACTAAGGAAAGATTGGGTACAAATACAACCCTAGAAACCCTGTACCCCATATGTGCTACCCCACTATAGCCTACAAACATGCATCAGCTATAATACTCTGACAGGTCGCTCGTACCTCCATGATCCATGCGGCTGCCCCCCACTTCCTGTGGCCGTTTGCACTGCAGTACGCCGCGCATCAGCTCAACCTCTGGCCCCGTGTCTCTGTTCCGGAGACCTCGCCTACCCTGCATTGGACGGGGGAGGTTGGCGACACGTCGGTGTTCCGAGTCTGGGGATATCGAGCCTTTGTCGGCGACACGTCCGCGGACAAACTCTCCTCCCGTGTGGTTCCCAGTGTCTTCCTGGGCTTTGTCCCTGACGCGCCTGGCTGGCGATTTTACCACCCCACCTCGCGCCGTGTCTTCGCCTCTCAGGACGTCACCTTTGACGAGTCGGTAACCTTTTACCGTCTCTTCCCCTACCGCACTGCCCCGCTCCCCCCCCCCCGCCGCTCTTCCTCACCCCAGGTGTCCCGTCGGTAGACCCCCTCCCTCCTCAGGGTGCTGCTCCCTGAGGTGTTTCCCAGGTAGACCCGGTCGAGCCTATCGAGGTAGCTTTTGACTCTGGTCCTGTGGAGGTACTGCTGGTACTGCTGGAGGTCCTGGAGCAATTGGAGGTGCTGCTGGAGGTTCTGGAGCTGCTGGAGGTACTGCCGGTGCTGGTGGAGGCCCCGGAGCTGTTGGAGGTGCTGCTGGTGCTAGTTCGGCTGGAGGTTCTGGTGCTGTCTCTGCTGCTTCTGGGGGCGCTTCACGGCCACGGCCGTACTTTGTTCCGCTCCTTCAGCAGGTTCTTGGTCAGCAGCCTCCTCCTAGTCCTCCTCCCTCCTTAGAGTGTCCTCCGCCTGTCCAGTCGCAGTCCCAGCTCCCACCTGCCTCGCCACTGCCTGGTCCTTCTCCCTACACTGGTCCGACAGGCAGTCTTACAGAGCGTCGTGAGCCTGAGTCTCGTCTTCGGTTGCCTGTGTCGCGTCCTGTGTCACCTGCTCAAGCTACTCGCACTGGTCGCCATGGTCAACGTGAGCGTCCCCCACCTGTGCCTGGCACACACTATATGACTCTGTCTCCTTCCACTACTCCGCAGCGTATCCCTCTGCCGTCTCCTCCTGAGTCCTCCTGTCCTTGCTGACCCTGAGTTTGACTCTCTGCGTGCTGCCAATCCTACTGTCACGCGTCTCCCGGCCACTGCTGTCACGGACCCTTCCTTTGAGTCTGCTGCTGCGTCTGCCCTAGTTGTTGAGCTTGTCGACTTTGCTGCTCACTGTCGTCTAGACTACGCTGCCAGTCTTGTTGCCGAGTCTGAGTCTGTCTGTCCTCCGTCCGTCGGGGGTGAGTGTGCTCTAGGCACGGACGTCCTTGAGGACAGACAGGAGGACCTTGAGTGTCTTGCAGCCGCTGCGCCTCATCTCGTGTCCATGCTGATCGCCCCTGAGGGAGACGCGGATGCTCCAGACATCCCGACCCCGCGCTCTTACGCTGAGGCGATCGCGGGTGAGTACTCCTCTCAGTGGCAGTCAGCCATGGATGCAGAGATGGCATCCTGGAAGTCCACTAGCACTTACGTCGACGAGGTTCCCCCACCTGGGGCGAACATCGTCAGTGGCATGTGGATTTTCAGGGTGAAGCGGCCGCCGGGTTCTCCGCCTGTCTTCAAGGCTCGTTACGTTGCTCGAGGCTTCAGTCAGCGAGAGGTAGTAGACTTCTTTCAGACCTTCTCCCCCACCCCGAAGATGACCACTCTTCGGGTGCTACTGCACGTTGCTGCTCAGCGTGACTACGAGCTTCACTCTCTTGACTTCAGCACAGCTTTCTTGCAGGGCAGCCTGCACGAGGAGATCTGGCTGCGCCGCCCTCCTGGCTTCACTGGGTCATTTCCTCCTGGTACCCAGTGGAGCCTCCGGCGGCCAGTCTACGGTCTCCGCCAGGCGCCACGTGAGTGGCACGACACACTGAGGACTAGTCTTGCGGCACTTGGGTTCGCGCCCTCTACTGTTGACCCGTCGCTGTTTCTTCGCACTGACACTTCACTGCCGCCGTTCTACATCCTCGTGTACGTCGACGACTTGGTCTTTGCCACTGCTGACACTGATGCTTTCGCCAACGTGAAGTTGGAGCTGCAGAAGAGACACACGTGCACAGACCTGGGTGAATTGCGCAGCTACGTTGGCTTGCGGATCACCCGGGACAGAGCACGCCGCACCATCACACTGACTCACTCACACATGGTGCAGCAGGTCCTTCAGCGCTTCGGCTTCACCTGGTCTTTGGCACACGCCTCTCCTCTGGTTATAGGTCACTCGCTCTCAGCTCTGCCTTCGGATGAGTCCGTAGAGCCGAGTGGTCCTTACCCAGAGCTACCTGGTTGCCTCATGTACCTGATGACTTGCACTCGTCCTGACCTAGCATACCCTCTTGGCCTTCTGGCTCGCTACGTGGCTCCTGGCAGGCACCGAAAGGTGCACTGGGATGCTGCAAAGAGGGTATTGCGCTACTTGTGCAGTACATCGGGCATGGGGCTCGTGCTTGGAGGAGGGAGCTCAGTTGTTCTCACTTGGCACTCAGACGCTTCTTGGGTTGACGACCAGGCTACTCAGCGATGGTCACAGGGTTACACCTTCATCCTTGGTTCTGGTTCAGTTTCTTGGCGTTCTACTCGCTCGTCTTCTGTTCTCAGCTCCAGTTGTGAGGCTGAGATCTACGCCACAGCCATGGCTGCACAGGAGCTACGCTGGCTCACTTACCTGCTGACCGACTTGGGAGAGCGGCCTAGTTCTCCTCCAGTGCTGTACGTCGACAACAAGGCTGCCATTGCCTTGTGTGAGGAGCACAGACTGGAGCACAAAACGAAGCACATCGCTCTCCGTTACTTCCTGGCTCGAGAGTTACAGCACCGCGGTCAGCTTCGTCTGCGTTACGTGGCCACTCAGGCCAACACTGCTGATATATTCACCAAGGCACTCCTGTCTGGTGATCATCAGCGTTTCTGCAATTTGCTTGGGCTAGTGCCCACGTTTCCTCATTTGCTGTAGGCTTTGCCTGTAGTGTGATCTCTATATATACATACCTGCCTGTTTGCTTTGCTAGGTTGAGATCACTGAGAAAGTTTAGAAGAGAGAAGAGGATTGCACTAGCAAGAAGGGGGATACAAATAGCAAACCCTAGAAGGGTTGTACTCGCTATAGAGCACCCCACTACAGGCTAGAGCATAAGATAACATTCTCACAATCACCTTGTTGTTTGTACTACATATATGCCTCTGCATGTGAACTGGCCGTGAGGCCCTTTGCTTGTGCTCAGAGTCTTTGGTGACGTTGTGATCCACCCTGAGCTTGTTTACCTTTCTTGACTGGTCTTGTGACTGTCAGTAGAGCTACACTGTGAGATCCCCGATCGATCCTAGGGGGGATTACAGGCGCGTTTGCCTGGGGGGTTATGGGCGCACTGACCCGCTACTAAAACAAGCCCTTTTATCCCAATGGTCTAGTGGTTGGGATTCTGACATGGTATCAGAGCGGTCTCGGGTTCAAATCCCGGTGTATGCACATGTTGGCCATTGCCACTGTGCTCAGTCCTGGGCCTCCCAGTGTGGGGGGGTGTCAGTAGAGCTACACTGTGAGATCCCCGATCGATCCTAGGGGGGGTTACAGGCGCGTTTGCCTGGGGGGTTATGGGCGCACTGACCCGCTACTAAAACAAGCCCTTTTATCCCAATGGTCTAGTGGTTGGGATTCTGACAATGACCCCTTGCTCTCCCCCACTTTGCCTATGGGGGTGTGTCAAACACTATATATGTATTACTGCTGTGTAGGCTATAGTGGGTTAGCCTATAGGGGGTACACAATTTTTAGGGTTTCATACTTGTACTGGAATGTTGTCTAGTTCATTCATTTCTTGTTTCTGACAGAAGAGACGTGGACACAGTTTCGGGCAGCACTGATCGAACAGTTCGACGCGTTGAACAATAGCTACTACGGAACACGACGCAACAAGCCAAATAGTGGCATGGGGCAATTGGCACCACCCACAACTGGGAACCCGATGGAGAACGACAAGTACGATGCGACGCAGCGGCTAGCAAACAATGAGACGTGCGAACTTTGCGGCGCTACAGTACATCGTATATTGGTGTGTTGGAAAATGAAGAATAGACGTGCGGAGTTGAAGGGCAAGAACAGTTCAGCACCCTCGAAGCAGAAAACGAACAACGTGGCAAATTCAGAAAGGGCGAAAAAAGGAGAATATGATGGCGCGAATTTAAAACGTCACAACCAGCCGGCACCAAGGGAAATCGCCGAGACAAAAGGAGACTCCGCGAAACAAGACCCTACACTGACTGGGAAACTCCAGCCGTACACCTCGACGAGTAAAAATATTACTTCTCGTGGTTTTCAAGCCTTTATTAAGGGGGAGTCAGAAATTAAACCGGTACCGGGTAATATGGGGACCCCATTCCGGAGAGTTGAAAATGGTCGAGCGTTCTGAGGAGTTAATATTCTCTCATAGCAACACTGTTTAAAGGCTCCCCGCTGTTCCCTACTGGTGAAGCCTACACAGCTGCTTTTTTTTTTTTGAAGGATGCATTACACTTATAAAGTGGGTACATCCACAGTCGTAACTGTAGGGGGGAAGGGACCAGGCAACCAGGAGGTCTGCACCGCCCTTCCTTTACCAACTAAGGTGGGTGAAAGACAGTTCTCGGGTTGGCCCAAACCGATCTGAACTCCTCCTTCCACGTCAGCGTGTCCTCGTCCTGAAAAATCCGGCTCAACAGCATAGCCTCGTCCCTCGCCAGATGGGGCCAGCATTGTCCCGCCCCACTTGCCTCCTCTTTTGTCGCTTGTTTCTTGTAGGTACTGTAGATTCTGACGTGTTTCATAAAATTCACCCCAATCTTCCTGAGGACTCTCCGCGGTTGAAACTTGTCCTGCCGGAAAGCTGCCTCACACCGCTCGAGCCATATCTGATGGAAAGCCACCGCAATCAGCGGCTTTTCAGGGAAGCCAGATGACGTGCCATCTGCGGCAAACAGAAAGTCCTCCAGCCTTTCCACCTCCCTTGTCGGATTCATCTGCTTCAACGCCCCTTTAAGCGCGCCAATGACAGGTTGTATGCTGTCGCACTCCAGCAAACAGTGTCCTAGGGTTTCATCTTCCTTGCAGTGCGGGCAGCTGATGCGATCACGCATGAAGTGTAACCTGTCGCCAACTTGGAGGTTCTTACTGTGCAACCTCAGAATGACTTCTCTTGCCCTGCCCGGAGTGACCAGTGTGTCCCGTTTCCTGATAGACTCCTTCCAGTCAATCGGCTTCCCATACTCCTGCTCCCACTTCTTCTGCTGCTTCGGCTGTTCGACTGGCCCTCTCAGCTCCGCTCTCAACTTTTTCAGAGGAGCGCCTTTGCCCTTCGCACATAGCACCGACGTCCTGAGCCGTGTGAGAGGAAGGCCCGCTTCCCCCATCAGCACCCCATTTTCCACCACCAGCGGGGTTAGCCTGTGTACCGCAAGCCGCACCTGACCAGCCCTGTCTGATAGCAGCACCTCTCCTTTCTTCCCCACCGCAGCTGATTTGCCAAGAATCTCGTCGCCGTCACGTGCTATTAGTTGCCAGTACATCTCTCTCCCTGCCAAGGAGCACGTGCTGGCAAATCGAGTTGTTTTCAGCACCTCTTCGCCTGTCAGTTTTTCCAGCAGTGCCGCTTTCCATTCGTCCGGCGCCGCTTTCCATGCCTTCAGCGCCCACCGCGCCGTCACAGAGCTACCTGTTTCTTTGGTCAGGGTCCACACATCTTTAACCTTCCGTGATCCGTCCCACTCCGCTTGAATCAGGTCACCCAGCTTCATTTCCAGCAAACACTTTGAGCCCTTTTGTCGCCCGAATGGGCTTTTACCTCTGTAGAAAATGTATCTGCTGAAACAGAGTCTCTCATTTGCATACTCCCAACGATTCGCCGGTGCCTGTACCTTCGACTGCAGAGTCTGCCAGAAGGTTATCACCGTCCTTCTCCATTTTTCCCCTCCCTTAGTCCACACTCTCAGGGCCGACCGATGTGCTAATGGCGTTGACCATCCTAGTGGCATCCCCGCTGCTCTCTCCATCAGCCATCGTTTCATCGGGTCCTTTTGCTGTACTGCAACTCTAAGGTTTTTAAGCGCCATACACTCCATCCGGACCGTTGGATTAATGACCCCCAGTCCCCCCTCTTTCTTGCTCGTGTAGGCCAGGTCCCCGCTCCAGAGGACGAAATGTCGGTCACCCGATGCCTTCCCACTGGACGTGAAGTTGTGACTGGTCGCGCGGAACTCTTTCCATGTCCCCCGGGGAGGTGGATAGACTTGAGCTTGGAAGAGGAGAATCGGCGTGGCATACGAGTTGAGCACCGTGACACGCGTCGATATATTAATGTGCTGATTCTGCCACTTCACCATCACCTCCCCTGCTCTGTCAGCCGCCTTCTCCCATGACGGCGTCGGGTCTCCACCCGGCGTTATCCAGACACCCAGCAACCTCTGCGGCTCATTTTTTCCTGCCCAGGGGTAAGGCGCATCTGCCGGTGGAGGTACGTCCTGATTCTTCCCCAGCGGGACAACCACCGTCTTATCCTTGTTGACTTTGAGCCCGGACAGCTCACCAAACTCCTCCAGCAGCTCACACGCTCTTCCAACTTGCTCTTTCCTGTTCAGCACCACCGTCGTATCATCCGCATATCCCAAATATGCCACATCACCGATTCCACGCTTCCATACACCCAGCCGCCGTCTCTTTATCTCCTGACTGAGTGGCTCAGCTGCGCAGATGAAGAGGTAGGGTGCTAGCGGACAGCCCTGGCGCACTCCTCTCTCCATCCCCACCCGTTCTCCCAACCATCCGTTGATCAGCAGCTGCGTTCCCGACTGATCATGCAGACCCTTCGTCCAGTTCACATATTCTTCCGGGAAACCCATGCGCTCCAAAGTCTGAAACATGTAGTCTCTGGAGATTGAGTCATACGCTTTCTGAAAATCGACCAAGAGAAGGTACCAATCTTCTCTCCCCGCTGCTGCCGCGTCGACCACATCAGCCACAACGTTGACTGCATCTGCCAGCTTCCTTCCTGGTATGAAACCATACTGGTGCTCCGAGATCACCATCGGTAAAACCTTCTTGATTCTGTTCGCCAGCACTTTCGCCACGATTTTGTATGCTGCACTTAGTAGCGTTATGGGTCTGTAGTTTTCTAATTTCCCCTTGTCCCCTTTCTTGTGCAGCAGTATGGTCACCGCCGTTGTCATTTGCGACGGGAGCGCCACAGAGGCTTCAAACTCCTTGATGAAACGAAGGAAAGGCCGGCCAATCATGTCCCAGTTCTCCTCAATGAACTCCTTGGGGAGACCATCCAACCCCGGCGCCTTTCCTTTCGGTAGCTGCTTGATCGCCGCCAAAACCTCTTCTTCCGACCAGGAGGCCCTCAGCATCTCTTTTTCCAGCACCCCAAGGACCTTGTTCGGGTCAACACGCCAAGCTTCCTTCACCACGCCCTCTTGCGCAGCAAAAGCCTCTGTAAAGTACCTTGAAGCTGCGGTAAGTACTTCTCTTTCCCCAGCAAAGCACTCTCCCTTGTAGGTGACTTCCTCTATCACCGTTTGCGCCTTCCTCGTCACAATCCGTCCAGAAAGAACTTTGGAGGAAATTTCCCCGAAGACCTCCTGTTGAGCACCCGCCATAGTCTGCAGCTGCGACCGCTGCCTTTCTCGGTAAGCTTTGAGCATTGACCCGTACTTCACCAGCTGCTCGTAGCTCTCCGTATCCCCCGTTCCATTCATGAACTCATATTCCAGCCGTGTCACCGCCTCCTCTAAACTTAAAACTGTTTTTTTGACACGCCTCCTCTCTTCCCTCGAGTGCGCTCTGATGCTCGCTTGCAGTTTGACCAGCAGCTGTGAGAAATCGTGAAGCTGCAGATCTTCCTGCTCCTCAAGGACTAGGCCAATCCTCTTCCTGATACCCGGACTCTTGGCTTGGGACGCGTGCATCCGCCACAGTCCCGGTCCTTTACCACCATCAACCTCCACGGAGAGTTCCAGTGATATCGCATACCAGTGATCCGAGATACCATGGGGAACAGATGAGTGGTACGCATCCCCAATCTTATGAAGAAGCGACTGCGATACCAGTGCTCTATCAATGCGAGTGCGCTCCTTCACCGAGTGCGCGTAAAAGGTATACTCCCGCTTGGTTGGATGAAGCGTCCTGAAGGCATCCTGTAAGTTGAGCAACGACAGGATGTCCAGGAGTTTTTGGTTTTCTCGCGCTGATCCCACCTTCGATGACTTATCAATCCGTGGATCTGCTACAACATTGAGATCGCCGATGAGTATCGTATGAGACACCGGTGGTAGATTGCTGACAAACTCCGTTAAACAATCTCTAAAAAAAACACTTCTTTTCGTTGCCTGCGCAGGAAAGTACGCCGCCAATACCCGCCAGGTCAGACCCTCTCTTTCTACTGTCACCGCGACCAGCCTGCCAGACACATGCGTGCAGACGTCCTTAAACATCACACCTGCCGTGAAACTGAGAACCGCAACCCCCCCCGCTCCTCCTTCAGGTGAGACTGCTGCAAAAGCTGTAGGATTTAGTTGCGTCCAGAAGTTATGGTCTGCTGCTACTCTAGTGTCCGTTAGCACCAAGATATTTGCCGCTGACTTGATCCAGTTCTGATGCGTGTTCCTCTTCTCCACACCGCCTAAACCATTGATGTTCAGCGCGGTAATAACAAACTTGCTCCTTTTATTCATTTGACCACTGCTGAAGACCCCACAGCATCCACGGGTCGGCATAACGTACTGATAAAGAAAATACCACAAACTGCTACTGCTGCGAAGAAGGAGCCTACTAGAAAACACTCGAAAGCCTGCTTAATCTCCAGATGTTCCCCCCCTTCCTGACTGCAGGAGCACAGTCCAGAACATGCAAAGACGGACATCCATCTCGTCCGCTTATCACATTCCGTACTCCTTCTTGATGGTAACCAGGTTCACCGCACTCATTGTCACCCTGGTCGCCGAGCCCAGTTCTTCCAGGTGAATCAAATGGTCTGCCGATGTGATGTGGTCCGCAGCAGCCATGAAAGATGAACCCTTCGCCTTTCCGCACCCCGCCTGTGTGCAGATCCATTCCTCCCGATTCCCTCCCGTAGATATAAGCACAATGGCAGGATCCAGAAGGATGGGGGTGACTAGTGGAGACGTGCGAGTGGACGCAGCTGCGATACGGGATCCATTTGCTAGAAACCGGTAAGCAAGAATGACAAAAAAGCGGTGATTGATGTAGATCCACTGTGTTACCATTGATCTTATGCACCCTCCCCAGATTAAGACTCCACTTCCCTATGTTATTCTGGCGTTCGGTGACGAACACATCATGAAACTTTTCATAATGATGTCCGCTACAGAGCGCGCATGATAGCAGGGGGTAGTGGACCAGAATCTGCCGCGAGGTGTCCATGGGGTTGTTGACTGCATGACGCCAGCGGTGCTGATCACCTGGGTGAGCGATCACCAGACCTTTCACTGTGTCCGTATCCGCTCCCGTGACGGGATGAGACACGCGGTGAAAGCAGAGACCCTTAGCAAAAGCCGGCACTTTGCGGATCTTCAGGGCGTAGCGGCACAGCAAATCTTTCAACAGGTCAGGTGAGACATTAGCCGGGACATCCTTGAAATAAAGCTCAATAATTGCTGGGTTAGAAGCTTTTTCCTTCATGTATGCCGGGTCTTCGGTATGCAGCCAGAAAAGGGTGATCTTTCCTTTCGGCCGCTGATACTCAACCACTTTCAGCCTGACCGCAGCAGCATCCTCTTCTTGCAGGAACGAAACTTGAAGACGGCAGAAATGCTGCTTCGCGATGTACTTCGCTGAGAGGGTTTGCACCGAGGCCGAGTCAACAGCACCAGGAGAGAGAGACGGAGCCCAGACCTTCCGAAGCAGAACCCACACCATGTTGATGATGGTACCCATTTCATTCTTCAGCGAGAAAGGGATCAGTAGGATGGCCGTGAACCTTAGACGCGCAGCAGCCTCCTGCTGGACATCAATGTCCAGCTCTTCGTCCGAGTCATCCTCCAGGAAGCCATCAGTAGAGAGTTGCGGCGACGTCGAAGCCTTCTCTGCAGGTGAGAGGCCAGAGCTTCCCGCGACAGCAGCAGTAGACAACACCGGGCCCTTTCCAAGAGCGGCACTGCCTTCAGCAGGGACTGGAACAACTGGCTCCATAGGGGGAGGAGCCACAGCATCCTTATCAGGGACTTCTTCCACCACTTGTTTACCCTTGGCAGGAGCGCGAGGCATGGTGCAATGATGACTTGAGTACGGCAGGAAAGTTGAGAGAAAGGCCTGAAATGCCTGATATGCCAGTAGTCTGAGCACAGAAGTATTAAATAGCTTCGCTGGTAGCCTTGCTAGCCATTGCTCCTGCTGTAAATGCTGAGCAGTCGCCGATAAGTCCCCTTGGTAATCTCCTTCTTTTGAAAGACACGATCTTGGAAGCCAATGAAACTTATCCTTGCTGTCATGCTTAGCAAACCGAGACCCTGAAGTTGACGCACAGTTAATGAAGACCTTGAGAACTGATAGCTGAGATAACAACAGGTTAGACTTGAGAGTCGATACAATGCTCATCAGTTGAACACCAAGGTTGTACCAATCTCTTCGTCTTAACGAGGCGAATTCAAAACTGTTGTTCTTAAAGCCAGCTGACATGTAGGCTTCACGCGCGATGAGTTCCAGGCTACGGAAGGATGGCCATGGCGGCCATTGCGAGTTCAACAGATGCATAGTTTCCCCTTGCCTACACAGCTGCAAAGGCTTAGAGGAAGGTTCCAGGCACAATTGAAGCTGTACCAGCCTAGGATAAATCCTTCTAACCCTACTCAGGTGAAACCCGATATTGAGTCAGCAGCTTAAAGCGCAGGACCTAAGGACGATATTGCGGAGAATTCTATTCAGGACCTAAGGACGATATTGCGGAGAATTCTATTCTAAGGGAGAGCTGAATTGCGTGTGACGCACTTTCAGAGTTTTGGCAGTGATTCTGGACAGAATGTTTGAATGAGTTAGTAGAATTCGAGCATAGTTTCCTCAAGAAAAATTGATAGAACAAGATTATGGTACAAGGAAAGAGATCCCAAATATCAAGCACAATGAACCCTGGAGAAACGTTCCTCGACGAACGCTCGACCTTTCCGAGTCAGCAACGCCAGGTGAAACGACAACCGTATGTGTCTTTCCCCTGAGTTGGCAGCTTCTCAGGATTCCAACGTTCAGAGTTGTTTATGTTTTTACTATTAGTAAAAACGTGTTTCAGGTTCAGTTTCCTTACTGATTCGAAATCTCCTGGGGAGTACAATTTCCGAAATGCTCTGATTGGTCGAAAATTGCTGTTTCGTGATTGGTCGAAATTCGCGCACATTTTCAAATTCTGGAGACAGGTAATTTTGGTCGACCAGAAGTTTTCTGCTTGACGATGACTCGTTCGAGCATAATTCTGTTGACAAACGTTTTGTCGAAACGCCATTTTCTCGAATTTCGTCGGCCCGCAAGGCCCGATTTCGACGCCGATTTGCTCCCCTCGACAAGTGCCTTGTCGACGGGCAGTTGCGTAGAGCTGAAACAACACTTCAATTTTGACGACTTAATCTTCTCGGAAATCGACCCGTCGAACAGAGATAAAAGTCCCAAAAGTCGCCGATGACCATGAAACGAACACCGTTGTGCTCCGAAAAGCATGGCCGGCTTCGCCCAAGCGAGGGCGGGGCCTTTTCTCCTCGACAGATATATTTGACGTACCTTATGATCCTGTAAGCAAGACCATCTGCAGCTACTCAGAGCAGCAGCAGCCACTACTCCTCGAGGTTATCTGCAACGGGCGACGCCTCCAGGCACTACTGGACAGTGGTGCGTCCCACTCGGTGTGCGACCGCGGGACGTTGGAGAAAATTGGAGAATCCTCAGAGGAGACCCAATTTACAGCAACGACGGTGGACGGTACGAAGCTTCCCATCCACGGCGAGACAACATTGCAGCTGCAGATAGAGGGGTTGAGGTGGAAGCCGACGTTGCTGATCACGAACATCAAGGGATTATATTTCATCTTGGGGTGAGATTTCCTGAAGCGGTTCAACCCCGAGATAGACTGGGTCAACCGGAAGATTGAAGCCGTCAAGAAGTGGAAAGTACCGAAGAACGTGAAGGAGTTGCAGCCGTTCCTAGGCTTTGCCAACTACTACAACAGGTTCATGCCGCAGTACGCTAAGATAGCAGCGCCACCGACCAACCTACTGAAAAAGGATACGCCCTACAAATGGGATACTCCTCAACAACAAGCCATGGAGCAGCAAGAGACTGTCAGAACATATAGCTTACTTGTTTCTGTAGGCTATAGTGGGGTATCCCATAAGGGGTACAACCCAATCAGGGTTTCCTATTTGTACTCACTTCGTTCATAGTCATTTCATTCTCGTTCACTTCTTCTCATGGTATCGAGCAGGTTCCCGTGTGGGAACTGTTCGTAGGGCCCACCACCGCTACCTCTTAACTTTTTTCTGCCCGGAGCGCGCTCCGGGCCCTAGTACTTCTTTTTTTTTTTCGATCTGCCCTAGTGCTCTGACGGCCGCCCGCCCTAGCGCCCGAGCGCCGCCGCCCTTGCGCCCTGACAGCCGCCCGCCCTAGTGCGCTGACGGCCGCCCGCTCTAGCGCCCGAACGCCGCCCGCCCTAGCGCCCTGACGGCCGACCGCCCTAGCGCCCTGACGGCCGCCCGCCCTAGCGCCCGAGCGCCGCCCGCCCTAGCGCCCGAGCGCCGCCCGCCCTAGCGCCCTGACGGCCGCCCGCCCTAGCGCCCGTGCGCCGCTCGCCCTAGCGCCCTGACGGCCGCCCGCCCTAGCGCCCTGACGGCCGCTCGCCCTAGCGCCCTGACGGCCGCCCGCCCTAGCGCCCTGTCGGCCGCCCGCCCTAGCACCCGAGCGCCGCCCGCCCAAGCGCCCGAGCGCAGCCCGCCCTAGCGCCCTGACGGCCGCCCGCCCTAGCGCCCGTGCGCCGCTCGCCCTAGCGCCCGAGCGCCGCCCGCCCTTGCGCCCTGACGGCCGTCCGCCCTGACGCCTGAGCGCCGCCCGCCCTAGCGCTCTGACGGCCGCCCGCCCTGACGCCTGAGCGCCGCCCGTCGTCGCCCCAGCGCCCTAGCGCCCGACGCCCGCGAGCCGCCCGTCGCAGCCGCCCGTGAGCTGCCCGAACGCCGCCCGCCGAGCCGCCCGTGCACCCGCCCAGCGTGAGCCGCCCACGACCGCCCAGGCCGCCGTCCCTGAGCCGCCCGCCGTCCCTGTGCCGCCTGTGCAGCCGCCAGCGAGCCGCCCGCGCCGCCCCAGCAACCCGAGCCGCCCGAGCCGCCCGAGCCGCCCGCGCCGCCCCAGCAACCCGAGCCGCCCGAGCCGCCCGCGCCGCCCCAGCAACCCGAGCCGCCCGAGCCGCCCGGGCAACCTGAGGAGCCGAGCTCCTGCTCTTGCGGGGCTGCTGCTGCTCCCAGGCGTGCGCAGCTGCTGTTCTGCCGAGTTGCTGCGCCGCTGTGCTACCCGACTCTTCGTCCCCGGTGAGACAATCAGCTGCTGCAATGGCCACCCCCAGTGTCCTGTCTTTTGACGCTGAGGGTCGCGCCATTGACTTTCCAGTCTGGATTGAGGACCTGCAGCTGTACTTACTGTGCGATGCGATCGATGAGGTTTCTCTCTTTGACTTTGTCTCTGGAGCTGTCCCTGCCCCTCCTGCTGATGCTGACCCTGCTGTTCGCTCCAAGTGGGCCGCACGCGATGCTGCTGCACGTCTTGCTGTGCGTCGCCACCTCCCTTCCTCCGAGCGTGCCCACTTTAGTCAGTGCAAGACCGCTCAGGCCTTGTACGACGCTGTAGTTGCACGCTACTCCTCCCCTTCCTCTGCTACGCTGAGCCGCCTCATGCTACCGTTTCTCTTTCCTGACCTCGCTGCCTTTCCCACTGTCGCTGACCTCGTTACCCACCTCCGCGCTAGTGACGCTCGCTACCGTGCTGCCCTTCCTGCTGAGTTCCGCGCCGCAAACCCTCCTCCCATGTACATCACTCTCTACTTTCTCGTCACCCGTCTCCCTGAGTCCCTTCGTGTCGTTAGGGACCAGTTTCTCTCTGTCTGTCCCACCACCCTCACTGTCGACCTCCTTGAGGAGTCCCTGCTAGCGGCTGAGAAGAGCATCATCGCTGTAGGGGCCTCTCGGGGTGACCCTCGCACCCCCATCTTTGAGGGGTGTTCTCCTTCCCCCCTGCTGCCCTCTGTCGCCTCTGCCGCTGCGGCCGACCTCGCTGGTTTTGAGTCGGTCGGTGCGGCGTCTGCCCCCAGCGGTAGACGCCGCTCTGGCAAGGGCAAGGGGGGCAAGGGAGCGGGTGGAGCTAGAGGGGGCAGAGGCGGAGGAGGTGGGGGTGGCGGAGGAGGCAGTGGCGGGAGTGGAGGTACTGGTGGAGGCGGTGGAGGCGGAGGTGGCGGCGGAGGCGGTGGCGGAGGAGGCGGGGGCGAGGGTACCGGTGGGGGCGGTGGCGGTGGGGACGGGGGTGGCGGTGGAGGCGGGGGTGGCGGTGGCGGCGGGGGTCGGAGTGGCTCGTCCCAGCGGAGCAGCTCTGGGGGTGGCCAGCGCCAGCAGCAGCAGCAGCAGCAGCAGCAGCAGCAGCGCTCTCGCACCGTCCCCGCCCCTCAGCAGCTCCGTGAGTGGTACTTGCAGCGTCAGCGTGGTGGTGCGTTTGGTCCCTGCCCCTACGTTCTTCGCACCGGTGACCGTGCGGGGGAGAGGTGTGGAGGCACCCACACAGCCCGCCGCTGCTTTGGCCGCCTGACCGACGCCTGGCGTCAGCAGTTTCCGGAGGCCGCTGAGATCCCCCGCAGGGGGGAGCTGTCTAGGGCTGGTGTAGCCATTTATGATCTTGACTTTGATGCTATTCTTTCTGCTATGTATGTTGTGACTGGTAGTGATGAGGATGATTGTTACCGGTGTTTCCCGCCCGACCCGGGCATTGGTACTGCTGCGTCAGGTGCTAGTGAGGCTGCTGCTCTAGGTGCCAGTGCGTCTGTGCTCTCAGGTACTGGTGAGTCTGCCCTCTCAGGTACTGTGTCGGCTTTGGCCTCTCACACCTTCACCCTTGACTCTGGAGCGTCTTGCTCCTTCTTTCGGGACCGCACCACTCTCACGCCGCTGAGTCGGCCGGTTGCGGTGTCCCTGGCTGACCCCTCTGGGGGGCCTGTCCTGTCTCGCTTCTCCACGGTCCTTCCGTGTCCGGCGGCC